TCAGGAATTTCGGGAATTTCGGGAATTTTGGGAATTCCGACCGTCGAACCAGTCGATGGCGGCCTTGGCCGAGGGCGGGTCGTCGAAGGACACGGTGGCTTCGCCCTTGAGCTTCCCGGTCTCGCGGTCAGTGTAGAGATTGATCATGGGCTGGCCGGTCTTCTTGTTGGTCTGGGGACAGGAGTGACCACGAGTGACCAGGAGTGACCACTGAGTGACCACTGAGTGACCACTGACCCATGGGAGTGACCATGAGTGACCACTGACCCATGGGAGTGACCACTGAGTGACCACTGACCCATGGGAGTGACCAATAAATGAGCACACATTGATCATGGGCTGGCCGGTCTTCTTGTTGGTCTGGGGACACGAGTGACCACGAGTGACCAGGAGTGACCAATGAGTGACCAGAGTGACCACTGAGTGACCACTGAGTGACCACTGACCCATGGGAGGGACCACGAGTGACCACTGAGTGACCAATGAGTGATCAATGAGTGACCAATGAGTGACCACTGAGTGACCAATGAGTGACCATGAGTGACCATGAGTGACCAGGAGTGACCATGAGTGACCACTGACCCATGGGAGTGACCATGAGTGACCATGAGTGACCAATGAGTGACCACTGAGTGACCAATGAGTGACCAATGAGTGACCACTGAGTGACCACTGAGTGACCAATGAGTGACCAATGAGTGACCAATGAGTGATCAATGACTGACCACTGAGTGACCACTGAGTGACCAATGAGTGATCAATGAGTGACCACTGAGTGACCAATGAGTGACCACTGAGTGACCATGAGTGACCACTGAGTGACCACGAGTGACCAATGAGTGACCACTGAGTGACCACTGAGTGACCACTGAGTGTCCAATGAGTGACCATGAGTGACCACAGTGACCATGAGTGACCACTGACCCATGGGAGTGACCAATGAGTGACCACGAGTGACCACTGAGTGACCATGAGTGACCACTGAGTGACCAACGAGTGACCAACGAGTGACCACTGAGTGACCACTGACCCATGGGAGTGACCCTGAGTGACCACGAGTGACCACGAGTGACCATGACTGACCATGAGTGACCATGAGTGACCACTGAGTGACCAATGAGTGATCATGAGTGACCATGAGTGACCACTGAGTGACCAATGAGTGATCATGAGTGACCATGAGTGACCAATGAGTGACCATGAGTGACCAATGAGTGACCACTGAGTGACCATGAGTGACCACTGAGTGACCAATGAGTGACCATGAGTGACCACTGAGTGACCAATGAGTGACCAATGAGTGACCAATGAGTGACCCTGAGTGACCATGAGTGACCATGAGTGACCAATGAGTGACCAATGAGTGATCAATGAGTGACCAATGAGTGACCAATGAGTGATCAATGAGTGACCACTGAGTGACCCTGAGTGACCATGAGTGACCACTGAGTGACCATGAGTGACCATGAGTGACCACTGAGTGACCAGAGTGACCATGAGTGACCACTGAGTGACCACTGAGTGACCATGAGTGACCAATGAGTGACCATGAGTGACCATGAGTGACCCTGAGTGACCCTGAGTGACCAATGAGTGACCACGAGTGACCATGAGTGACCATGAGTGACCCTGAGTGACCCTGAGTGACCAATGAGTGACCACGAGTGACCCTGAGTGACCATGAGTGACCACTGACCCATGGGAGTGACCACTAAATGAGCACACATTGATCATGGGCTGGCCGGTCTTCTTGTTGGTCTGGGGACAGGAGTGACCACGAGTGACCAATGAGTGACCAATGAGTGACCACGAGTGACCCTGAGTGACCACTGAGTGACCATGAGTGAACATGAGTGACCATGAGTGACCAATGAGTGACCAATGAGTGACCATGAGTGACCAATGAGTGACCAATGAGTGACCATGAGTGACCACGAGTGACCATGAGTGACCATGAGTGACCACAGTGACCATGAGTGACCAATGAGTGACCACTGAGTGACCAATGAGTGACCAATGAGTGACCCTGAGTGACCACTGAGTGACCATGAGTGACCATGAGTGACCACTGAGTGACCAATGAGTGACCACTGAGTGACCAATGAGTGACCAGAGTGACCACTGAGTGACCAATGAGTGACCAATGAGTGACCACTGAGTGACCACTGAGTGACCCTGAGTGACCCTGAGTGACCAATGAGTGATCAATGACTGACCAATGAGTGACCACTGAGTGACCAATGAGTGACCAATGAGTGACCATGAGTGACCAATGAGTGACCCTGAGTGACCAATGAGTGACCAATGAGTGACCCTGAGTGACCAATGAGTGACCCCTGGTATTTTGGGAATTTTTTGGGTAGATTTTGGGTATATTTGGGTGTATTTTGGCCACATTTTGGGTGTATTTTGGGTATATTTTGGGTGTTTTTTGGGTTTATTTTGGGCATATTTTTGGTGTATTTTGAGTATATTTTGGGTATATTTTGAGTATATTTTGGGTATATTTTGGGCATATTTTGGGTGTAATTTGGGCATTTTTTGGCCATATTTTGGGTGTTTTTTGGGTGTATTTTGGGCATATTTTGGGTGTATTTTGGGCATATTTTGGGTAATTTTTGGGTATATTTGGGATTATTTTGGGCATATTTTTGGTGTATTTTGAGTATATTTTGGGTATATTTTGAGTATATTTTGGGTATATTTTGTGTATATTTTGTACATATTTTGGGTATATTTTGTACATATTTTGTACATATTTTGGGTATATTTTGGGTATATTTTGTACATATTTTGTACATATTTTGTGTATATTTTGTACATATTTTGTACATATTTTGGGTATATTTTGTACATATTTTGGGTATATTTTGTACATATTTTGTGTATATTTTGTGTATATTTTGTACATATTTTGTACATGTTTTGTGTATATTTTGGGTATATTTTGGGTATATTTCGTACATATTTTGGGTATATTTTGGGCATTTTTTGGGTGTGTTTTGGGTATATTTTATACATATTTTGTACATATTTTGGGTGCATTTTGGGCATTTTTTGGGTGTGTTTTGGGTATATTTTGTGTATATTTCGTACATATTTTGTGTATATTTTGTGTATATTTCGTACATATTTTGTGTATATTTTGTGTATATTTTGTGTATATTTTGTACATATTTTGGGTGTATTTTGGGCATTTTTTGGGTGTGTTTTGGGTATATTTTGGGTATATTTCGTACATATTTTGTGTATATTTTGTGTATATTTTGTGTATATTTTGTGTATATTTTGTGTATATTTTGTGTATATTTTGTACATATTCTGGGTATATTTTGTACATATTTTGTACATATTTTGGGTATATTTTATACATATTTTGTACATATTTTGGGTGTATTTTGGGCATTTTTTGGGTGTGTTTTGGGCACATTTTGGGCATTTTTGGGGCGTGCCCACCTTGATAATCCCGATCTGTTTGAAGTAATCGGCCACCGACTCGATGGTGACGTTCTCGCCCAGCCCCTGCACGAAGATGGTGTTGTTGTCCGAGTTGTCCTGCTCCCCTGG